TCCAAACCCAAGAATTGTATTTTGTATTCGAGGGTTCAAAACCCATGACAATTTCAATAAAATATTTATTTTTCTTAAATTGTCTTTTGTTGTTTATTTTGTTCTTCATTAATCGGAGGTTTCATTTGTATAAAATGTGTAATTAACGGTCTGAAATACAGATCGGAAATAAGAACATGCTATTCAAATAATCAACACTGTTTAGTCCAAAAACTAAACAGTGGACATTTGTAACATAAATTTTGAAATGTGTTGAAACACTTCATGTTTTAAAATTTGTGTCTACACGCACTCCTCTATGTAAGCCACCTTGCCTTAATTTTATGAACCATATCCGTTCCAATCTCCCCAGCCGTTGTGACAATCGATCATAAATAACGAAAATGTTCACTCTTAAGTAGTTCTTGATTATCAATTTTCACTTCTCTTCTGCTTTCATTGGTATTGTTACTAAAATTACACTTCATGTACTCTGTCTTAGTTTTGCTCATCCTAAATCCTTTATATTCAAGTGTTTCTCTCCAAATCTCCAACTTAGTGTTAACTCTTCTAGTCTCATCCACTAACATGATATCATCTGCAAAAAGCATACACCATGGCACATCATTCTGAATATTTCTCGTCAACTCATCTATAACTAAAGTAAAAAGATAAGGACTTAAGGTTGATCCTTAATGTAATCTCATAGTAATTGAAAATTCACTTCTCTCTCCAATCGGCGATCTAAAAGTGGTCACCACATCTTCAAACATGTCTCTAATCACATCAATGTAGCATTTTGTCACTTCTTTCTTTTATAAACTCATCAGATTATATCCCGAGACACTCTATCTTATGTTTTCTCAAGATCGATAAAAACTATATGAATATTTCTTTTCTTCTCTCTATATTTTTTCATTACTCTCCTCAAAAGATAGACTACTTCCATTATTGACTTACCAGGCATAAATCCTAATTGATTCTCTAACACCTCTGTTATATCTTTCAATCGACGTTCCATCACTCACTCTCTCTCTTTCATTATATGAGACACCAACTTGATTCCTCTATAGTTGTTGCAATTCTAGACATTTCCTTTATTTTTATAGATTGGCACTGAAATACTTTTCTCCCACTCTAGCATTTTCCTAGTCAACAAAATCTTGTTAAATAACCTAGTCAACCAAGCAACTCCCTTCTTATCCAAACATTTCCAAACTTCAATAGGGATATCATAGGATCCTAAAGCCTTATTTGATTTCATCTTCTTAAGTGCATTCTCCATTTCAAAGCTCCTAATCCTGCGTTATAACCTGTAGTCTTGGTTTTCCTTATTACTGGCTACTTCCTCCACTTTTGACCTTCTTCCATGTTCCTCATCTAACAACTCAAAATAGTTCTTCTGCCACTCCTTAATCTCTTCATCATTTACCAACACCTAAGAGTCCTTACTGTTGATGCACTTAACGTGATTAAATATCTTGTTTTTGTCTCTTATCTTAGCAAGTTTGTATATTCTCTTTTCTTACTATCTGCTCTAGTTTATAGATCATCGTAGGCTTTCAACTTAGCCTCTCTCATTACTTTTTTGACTTCCTTATTAGCCAATCTGTAACTTTTAAGATTTTTCTCAGTTTTATCATTTTGTCACTTTTAAAGTACTCTTTTTTCGCCTTTACTACTGCTTGAACCTCCTCCTTCCACCGCCAAGTTTCCTTAGAGTTGGGTCCCTTTTCTTTCGACTCTCCAAGGACTTCCCTTGAGATTCTCCTCATACAATTGGCCATCAAGTTCCACATAGTGTTAGCATAATCTTCCAAGTCCCAAATACCTTCTTTATCCTTAAATATTTATAATTTATCCCTTTTAGGTCCCACCATCTCTACCTACGATACCCATTATTCTTCCTGACTTGGTATTGCCCTTTAAAGCATAAATCTAGTACCAAAATCCTATGTTGAGTCATCAAGCTCTTTTTAGAAATTACCTTACAGTTGCTGCATTTTAGACAATCCACTTTACTTGCTAGAAAGTAATCTATTTGACTCCTAATTGTCCTACTCTTAAAGGTTATCACATGCTCCTCTCTTCTCTTATACATAGTATTGGCCATCACCAGGTCAGAAGCTAACGCAAAATCTAAAATACTCTTTCCAGCCTCATTTCTATCACCAAAATCATACCCACCATGCACCATCTCATAACCTAGTTTATCTATTCCTTCATAGTCGTTGAAATCTCCCGCTATAATTAGGTTTTTCTCCTACGGGTATCTCTTGTAATATATCTCATCCATTTGGTCCTAAAAATCTCTCTTAGTCTGATCATCTAATCCTACTTTGAGAGGCGTATACACTAATAACGTTTACTATATTCTCTCAAATAACTAGTTTAGCTAATATAATCCTATCACCATTCCTAATGATCGCAACCTCATTTTCTATAAGACCCTTGGCAACTATTATTCCTACACCATTCTTGTGTCTATCCTTGCCACTATAATATAGTTTAAGATCGGTATCCTCTATTTCCCTAGCTTTCACACCCGTCCGCTTAGTTTCTTATACACAAGTTATACTAACTCTCCTCTTAATCCTGACATCTATCAATTCCATAGTCTTATCAGTTAAAGTTCCTACATTCCATATGACTACCCTAAACCTATAGTCTTGGACTAGCTTCTTTATCCACACTTGTCCAGAAAAATGCGAAAACCTTTGCCTATTTTTTACCGCACCCAGGCGTCGATGCGGTGCCCTTGCTATACTTTTAGGTTTTATAATGAATAGTATACTAATTTCTATAAAAAAAAGTTTGCTTGTTAGTTTGATAGCAATGATTGGAGATTATGTCCATTGAATTTGAGTGAGTTTTGGTATTGTTGTTAGTTTAGAGGTGCTAGATAATTTATTTATGATTATTGGTTATGTTCTTGAATTTTTAATATATGTTATATCATGGGATTTGGGTATACATGCATGATAAATGATAATAATAGATGAGTGTGATAAACTTTATGATTTGACCTAAGTAAATAATTCTTAGAAACTTTGTAACTTGAAAATAAAGTTTTTTAAGAAGCATCTTTTTTTGAAACTTAAAGGTGAATGATGGAAATAAAATACTTTGTGAAGGAAATGTGAATTTCTCAGTGTTGAGAAGCTTGGAAGTTGAAATTGGTTGAGTTTGGATGAATTTTAGAATATTGATTTAGCTTTGGGCTTTTTTGCTTTGTTGGGGGCTCGTTTGGCCATTTGGTTAGTTTTGTACCTTGTAGCAAGAATGGGTGCCAAGTCATTCCATTGGTGAGAGCCCTTAAAACTCACATGGGGTTGGTTTCCCCATAGTCCATTGGTCTAGTAAGCTATGAATATAGGATTAAGGACTTGAATAGTCGCCTAGGTTGAGGGCATGACTGTGTTCTAGTTAGAGTCAACGGGGTTTGACTAGGTTGTTCATGAGATATTTTATTGATTTTTGATAGTATCGAGTTTGTCTTCAATTTTGAAATATTTGAGCAATTGATTCTTATATATGAATTTTGAGATACTTATGTAGTATGATATGATCCTTACTATCACTTTAACAAAGATAATAAGAATTGGAATAATATGTTTCTTGCATGTAATTTATTCATTTCAAATGTCTTAGATGATTATTGGTGAGCCATATTTGCTCACCCCCTACCATTTTAGGTACTCCACGTCCAGCAACAGAGTTGGGCGGTCATGCCTAACAATTAATTATTTTGCAAACTTACACATGTATATCCATGCTTAATTATATCTAGGCCCTTTTTGAGTTATTATTTTGGGCATCGGCATGTAAACCTAACTAGTTTGTTTATGAACTTGTAAAATTAGTTAGTTAGCATGCTTATATTAGTTGGATGTTTATGTGATTTGCATTTTGGGGTTGTGAGCTCATTCGTGGCTTTTAAAGCCTAAACTTGGGAGTTCTAACTTCATGACTGAATTTTAATTATCTTGTGTATTGGTATTTTATTCTAAGCAATTGTTATGAGATTTGAGCTTATGAACATTTGAAGTTACAGAAATAATATTTTATTTAAATTTGTCCCAAATTGGATTTCATCACTAATAAAATATTTGGGAGTTATTTGACTCCTTCATGTCATATTCTTCTAAATCTAAACTTTATCGGGTTCAATCACCGTAATTATTATAAATTAGTAATAATCCACCAGCTTATAAACCGGGGTGTGACAGTACCAAGGCAAACAGCCCACTCAAGCAACTCCCAATCCCGTTCGAGCTACCCCTTCTTCAGCATTCTCCATTGCATTTGTATATTGCGGACAAAAGTGAACCAATCATCTAATTGCCTACTCAAGTGGGTTGTATAGCCACATGATCAACTTCTTCACTCCTTTAGTAATAAGGGCTCTATCACCTCATCAATCTTCCACTTGGAGACTGATTCCAGACACGAATAAACTGCAAGCCTCAACTATTTATATCATCACAAAGTAACACAGCAACTCAATCCTCCATTTTCAAGTGCCAAGACCAACTGAAGTTGAACACAACTTTAGTTTCTCAATGATAACCACGAAAAGATGTGCAAAAAGTAGAGAGAAAAGAGAATCTTTGACTTTTTGATATGAGTTGTTGGCTTTTTGGCTAAAAGGGTAACTTTTTGACTTTTTGACTAAAAAGGTAAATCCCCAAACGGGGCCTTAGTATGCTGTTATTTATTTTTTATTGAATTTTTGCTTCGTTTGGATTGGCAAAGAAGTCAAATTTTCACAATCTATTTGGTATGCTGTTGTTTCTTTTTTCTTGAATTTTTCCTTTTGATTGGATTGGCATAAAAAAGTAACATTTTCAAAGTTTGTTGATGCAGTGATGCAACTTATTCATGACAATTTAAAAAAAAAAAATTAACTTAATTTATCATTATATATGTTGACTTTTTCTGTGGTAGAATCTGCAAATATTATGTTTTAGATATGCTTGTTAGTTTTGACTAGTATTTATGGAAAAAAATCTCAATTGCAGGACTGGGCTGATCTATGGCGGCCTGAACTTGCTGGGAAAATTTCAATGGTTGATTCTCCTAGAGAGGTTGTTGGTGCAGTGTTGAAGTGTATGGGGGCAGCATACAATACAAACAACATTGACGCTCAGGTTGTTGGAGGGAGAAATGTTGTGCAGCAGAAGCTTGCACAGCTCAAAAAACAGGTATTGAGATGAAATGGTCAAACCACCCTAACAGAGTGGCAAGCACATCCAAATAGGGTTCTCAGCTGCAAATGAATTTATTGTGCTTATTGAAAAACCAAAGGACAATAACCCCAAGGGGTTGGCCTGATGGCGAGCCCTTGGGTCTTGGGGTTGTGCTCCCTCTAAGATTCAGGAATTGAAACCTCTTAGGTGCTAACACAATTCCTCAGGGCCATCGTACTGGGGGAAAACTCTTGAATTAATAGTGTTGCGTTTGCGGGAAACTCTTTGCTGAGGGCCTATGCACCCCTAGGGATTAGTCGGACTTTGATTCGGACACTTCAGTGCAAATCAAAAAAAAAAAAAAAAACCAATGGACAAAATGAAGATGATTTTGGACTATTTATATTTGATGTTGACCCAATAAAATGCAGTTCCTGGACATCACAAAAACTTAAGAAATAAGGAAGTAGAATAAATTTGGTGCGATGGATCAGGCAGGTGTGCATTTGGGGGTTGTGACTCAAAACCTGGCTGAGGTAACTCAATTCTTCCAAATTTTGGGTAACTTGGTAAGAAAGCTGAAAATTGTCACAGGTTTGCCGAGTCAAGTTAAAACTGAACCAAGTTGTTGCTGATTCATCGTTTCCTTTTTTGGATGAGATGTTAACCAAAAGTAAGAGATACTTTTGTTCTTTAACAAATCGTCGTATCAAGTTGTTCAGTCAATTTAGATTACTGATTCCACTCTTTTTGGCCAACTTGAATTTTTAACTTTTACCATATAATACATGCATAACTTTATTGACGTCCGATCCTTTATGATTGATAACAGCATAAACAAGTTGTTGCTGTCTATTCAATGCATTTATTTTTTACTGTTTGACTTTTTGGTGTTTCGTTTATTACCAATGGTTCGTGTTTCGACAGCATAAACAAGTTGTTGCGGTCTATTCAATGCATTTATTTTTTACTGTTTTTTTTAGTGTTTCGTTTATTACCAACGGTTGGTGTTTCGATCATTACCAATGGTTGGTGTTTCGGATGGCTATGTTTCTTCATATCTGCATTTGGCTTTCTGTAGGTTCGACTATTCGACAGTGTGCACTATCTGAAAGCATTTGGAGTGGGAGATGTATGGGTGGCAGTTGGATGGAGTAGTGATGTTCTTCCTGCTGCCAAACGCATGTCAAATGTCTCAGTAATTGTTCCAAAATCTGGAGCTAGTTTGTGGGCAGATCTGTGGGTACGTCTAGAATCATCTACCATAAAAATCTTATGTGATTTCTATGTTGATTTGTCTGAATGGAAAAACTAGATATGGTATTTTAACTCTCATACACGCTGTTTTGCATATGTGGGGTATGGAGATATTGAAACATTCTCACCTTGAAGGTTATCTTTAATGTTGTTTGACCTGATTGTATGATAACAATTATATATTAGTAGTATCCTAAATGTAGAAGTTTCTGCAAGATTGTGGATATTAGAATCAAGGAGAGGATAAAAGTTCCTAGTTGAGTGGGGGGGATGCTGTCTGTCCATGTTGTCCCAACCTCTGATTTTGTTTGTTCTTCATATTAAACATATACCTGGTTTTTTTAGGACATTGGAGTTAATAAATAAATAAAAGGTCAGAGTAGATGCAAAACATAATATCTGGGCCTAGATCAAGCTACCTGCTAGTATTGGATCTCTGTTTACCACGTTAAACCTTAAGACTGTCATGGAGATTCTTTCCCTGAACCATGGAATTATTTAGTTGTCTATTTATTATTCCAATTCTTGATAGGATACAAGTGATATCATCACTATTATTTGGGTCAACTTATTAACATTTGATCGGTCTTTATGTGTGTTGAAATGAATATCCTGCGTTTTCGGGTGTTGTATTCAAATCTGCGTTGATTGTGATTCTATACTTGGTTCATAAATTAAAGTTGAAAGGTGAATGCTTTTCCCCTAGAGAAATTATCATTTCCTTTCATGTTTGCAGGCAATTCCAGCTGCTTCAAGATTAACTACAAATCAAAATAAAATTGGGGGACGAGTAAGGGGGCCATCTCCGCTAGTGGAACAATGGATAGAGTTCTGTTTGCAGGCTGGTAGGGCAGTGCCTTTCCAACAGGAGGTAATCCCAGGTGCATCTCCCTCTGCCCTTGAGAGTGACCGTGCCCGTGCCCGTGCCCGTGTTGAAGAGGAAGAGTCTAAAGAGCTTACAACAGCCAAGAAGGGCAAGCCAAAGCTAGACACAAATCTCATTGATGGAGTACCCCCACCTGAGATTTTGGATCAGTGTGAGTTTCTGGTGCCATTATCAGATGCTGCATTGGCTGATTATCAGTGGTTAATTGCTAGTATGCAGAAGCCTCACCTTCATTATAATGGTTTGATTCATAGAATGCAGCATTTTATCTTTTCTATCATTCAAACTCTATGGCCGAAAAAGATGCGCAGTCAAAGCTAACATCTTGAGAGTTTACCTGGTTGTTGTATTACGAAAGCTCTGATGCACACCACCGGTTATACCTAAACTTTAGCTGTTATTAAGAAAGATCATTTTAGCAGAGCTTAGAACGGGTACTAATGAGGCTTTGGGAGGCTAAATGGTAAATTCAGGTGTAATTTCTTAACATGTGTGTGGTAGTCTCGCATGGTGAAATGTATTATGTGGATATATGTCATGGATGGTATATTTAAATAAATAAAAAAAAAAGAAAATCTTAAAATCTCTCCTGACCGGCAAATTACAGGTGGTTTGAATTTCTTTAGCCTCCGTTTGGGAAGTGGGTTGGCTTTTTGGCTTTTTGGCTTTTTTGACTATTTTAGCCTGGGCTAAAAAACTTGGTTTGGGAATGGCTTTTTGGCTTTTTTGACTTTTTTTGTGAGAGAAGAGTGTAATGATTATGGGTTGGATGTGATGTTTTGTTTGTTGTGGCTAAAATAGCCTATTTTGTCTTTTGTGGCTATTTTAGCTCCAACCTTGCTTACCAAACGGACCCTTAATATAATCACAGTACCCAAATTGCTTTCTGTTCTAATTGTGAACATAATTTATTTGGCAAAAAAGGGGCTGGGCAATTCAACCCTAATACTTACTTTGCGAGCAGTCTTTTTTTTTTTTTTTTGATCGGCAAAACAAAGAAGCTTCATTGATGTAAAATATAGTACATAACTTGCGAGCAGCTTCACTCTACATAACTTGTCTCTTCACAGTATAAAAGATCCTGTCCTGGCATTTGAGGAATATGTTGGTGATTTTCTAATGAAGCCTCTATTAATTACTAGCTTTGCTGTAATGTGTACACACGGTGGGGACACAAAAAAAAAA